AGTGTCTCTGGCTCAGGCCTGTATTCTTTGCTAGTCAGGAGGCTGAGATCTAAGGATCATGGTTCAAAGCCAGCCAGGTCAGGAAATGCTATCAGATTATCTCCAGCTGTAGCTCAAAGTGGTAGAGTGCTAGCCTTGAGAGAAAGAACTCATAGACAGTGGCCAGCTTTTAAGTTCAAGCACCACCATTCTGTACACACACCCCCTACACGCACACTCTTCACTCGGTCCCTTCCTAAACCCTCTGTCCTCTTCACTGAACTGGTGATTGCCAGAGTTTCTGGATTTCCCACTCCAGCATGCCAACCAGACATGTTCCCTCTGCACATGTACCTCTGCCACACTGCAGGGCCAGGCCTCCTCCAGAATCCACTGCCCTGGGATAAAGAGCACATGAAATTCAAGGATTCTCAGAACCTCTGCTTCAAGACAGGGAGGCTCAGAACTGTTCCTCACCTGGTATACAGAGACTCATTGGTCTATTTGTGTAGAACAATGCCAACATGGTTAGAATATAAGTTTTTGACTACCACAAACGACACCCTTTTCCAAATACTGTTAAATATTCCCTCAGATTTTCTTAAATGTTACATCAAAGTACATCTATTTACATGTTAGAGGTTGTTGCTTCTGATATAATGAACGGGAAATGGCAGCCAAAATGACTTCTTACAGAGAAAAATGCCTAGCCCAAGTAAACTAATATGTGCAGCAAGCTCATTTCAGACCATTCTCCAAATGCAGGCATGAGTCTCTTATTGTGTCATCTTGATAACTTACAGTCCATATCCACCCTCATGCAGACTTAGAAAATCTTCATGAAAACCCAATGAAAGGAACATCTTAAGAGCATAAAACAGCACCAAATATTTAATTCTAGCTTTTAAAATTTATATGTTCTCTATTTGCACAGTGCAGACTGGCTCATTGTTGGCAGAGAGCTTCAAACATCAACACATTTACCTGACTAGCTGCAGAGAGCAAGTAATCCCTATTAAGAGGTGGGGTCTTGAGATTCAAGTGGGACAAGTTTTCAAAGACACCTGTTCTGATATAACACAGAGCTTTTGTGTCTCAGCATCAAGGGTCCTATCTCAGCACAGGCTGCATCCTCTACTGCCTGCATTACTTGTGGCTCCCTGTAGTCACCAGTTCCTTGTAAATCCAGCAGATTTGTTCCCCAGATCCAGCACACTCTGCTTCCTCCCAATCAGGCCCCATGTGCCCAGGATTTTAGATTGGAGGTAGAAAAGACCAGAGTATTTTGTATTCAAGAATTTTACAACATTATGTAAACATGGACATTTTAATACTGTTCAAACAATAAATAGTAAAGCAGGCATTTGTCCAGAGAGAAGGGAGGCAAGATCTAACACACACACACAAAAAGAGATTCCCTGACTGGACAATGTGGATCATGCCTGTACTGCTAGCTAGTCAGGAGTCTAAATGGGAGGATCATGGTTCATAGCCATATCTGGCAAGAAAGTCCTCTTCTGTCCAATTAACCACCAGAAAACTGCAAGGGGAGCTGTGACTCTAAGTTGAAGAGCATTAGCCTTGTGCAAAAAAAGCTCAGAGACAGGTCCCACAACATGAGTTCAAGCTCCACAACAAAACAGAATAGAGGAAGAGACAGAGAGAGAAAGAGAGAGAGAGAGAAAGTGACAGAGAGACAGAGACAGAGGCAGAGGCAGAGGCAGAGGCAGAGACAGAGACAGACAGAAATAGAGACAGAGACAGACACAGAAAGACAAACACAAGAAAACAGACAGGAAGACTGAGAAATCCCTTACCACTCCAATTAGAAAGTGAATATGGATATCTAAGATATATTTCTTATTCTTCCACAGTTCACTACATAGTACCACATCATCCTGATCCACATTGGGCTAACTAGAATCTATTTGGAGTTTCATAAATCATTCTACAAGCTCCCATAGAACATGAACAGGCCCACACCTACTCACCAATAGTTTGTAAGTCTGGCCTTAAATATGTAATTTTCCAATTCGTATGTTTTTCTGTTTCCATGGTTTAAAGCTACCATTGCCCACATTTCATGTCTAGATGTCTTCATCTTTTGTGCTAGTAGTGGAATTTGAACTCAGGACATTGAGCTCTTGCTTACTTTTTGTTCCATGCTTAAACATGTAACTTCAGCCATGCTAGGACTTTCTGACTTTTGCTGGCTCATTGGATGAGTCTTTCAGATTTGTCTACAGGGGCTGATTTGAAGCTCCATCCTGAGGAAGTATAGAGCACTCTTGAAACTAGAATTATTGAGATGGGCCAGGACACCTGGCATGTCTTTGTCAATATGACTAAGTTTTCTTTCTTCTATTGATGATGGCTTTTCCCTATTTCCCATGTATTTTGGCAAATACTTTTCCCTCAAAGTAGCTTTTTGATGTTATTTTGAGGTGTAATGTTCTTACATATTGGCACAGAGCTAAATGGGGGTGGGTACTGACTTGACTTCACTAATGGAAGAAAGTCCCCCATTTAGTACATTTAGTCTGACAGAACAACTTTCAAGGACATCTGGTTTGCTATGTCCTAGAGCTTTAGTAGTGGCCTGATCACCCCATGCAGGCATGGGCTGGGTTCCTTACCCCTCACAGTGCACTGAACACTTCCCTCTATAGCCACTTATTGCTCTTGGACAGCTCCAGGTCACTCTGTCTTTTGCCCTTACTCAGGACACATGTGCCTGGGACATCAGAATGTACATTAAAAAACCCACAGTATTCAGGATCCATAAATTGTACAACATAAACATACATTTTAATAAATTTAGAAGAATAAAAAGAATGAACATTTTACAACAATCAGGACAAAAAAAAAAAGAGAGATATCCCCAGGGAGAGGAGAGGGAAGCTCTAAGTCTAGCTTGGCTTCTAAGTTGCCTTCAGACATAAATTCTAACTCAGAATCCTCCAAGGGACCTACCTCCTCATGAAAGATAGGATTTGCTCCTGGAGTTGAGAGAGAGAGGCAGATTCTAATTTCTCAGTTGGAGAATGGCTCTCCTGCAGCAGGACAGATTTGTCCAGATGTTCTGTGAGGACAGATTCAATTTCCCGAGCTGAATCTAATATTTGGACCTCACTCATTGATTCCCCTGAACACAGACTGGGGACATTTTCCATCAGCCCCATGTGTGCTACTCCCTCCAGCACGCCAGGAGGAGTGCTGATTTGACACTTTATGACCTGACCTGGGCTGCCTGTGAAAGCCAGAGGAAGACAATCACTATTACTTTCTTCTTTCTTTCGGGTCCCTACAAGTTCAGCTCTGTCACATGTGGGGTTCAGAACCAGTGTCTTATCCACAGGACTCACAACCTTTTGGGGCCTCACTGCAAATGCATGCAACCCCTCTACATGCACATGCTTTGTGGAGTCCAGTGATGGCTCCAGATCTCCATCCATCACCATCCTTGACATCACCGAGGGCTTCTTTCTTGGCACGTCAGGAGAAGCTGCTGTATGGCGGCCAAAGCCTGAGAAAGAGAAATAGGTAAAGGAGTTTGACAGTGGATTCTGGATGTTAAGGTAGAGTTCAATTTCCATGAGGCTCTAATGGAGGAAGCTGTACATCCAATTCCCAATGAAACCTTATTTACTCATGGGAAATGTGATTTCCTAGAAGTTCACCTAGGTGTTGGCAGAAGTTGGGTGCCACAGGCACATGCCTGTAAGTAAGGGAGCTTCTGAGGTTCCAGTAGCTTTTCTGGAAAATGTCCTGGGCAGACCACTACTAAGAAACTAGGCAGGGTATGGACTTCTTTGTCTCATGCCAAGCTCCTTTGAGAAGACCCCGGTGAAATCAACAGGTTCAGAGGGGTGCCAAGTATTCCACAACTCAGCAAGGAGGGGCTCAACAGACCAAGATGCGAAGGAAGGGGGAACACTCACTTTTTAAACACAATAGCCAGCACTTGCTCCATTGTCCCCCACTGTCTATAATTGTGGAGGAAGTTTCCAACATAGAAGAGATCGCCTTTCTGGTAGGCAGGGACCAGGTTCATCACCAGCATGTCCAGCAGGCCTGCCTCCGGGCTCCATATATTGCATGGCACATTCAGGGTCAGGCCTAACTCATTGGCACACTAAGGTGGGAAAAAGAATCAGAAAAAATGATGGAAATGAGATCACTTCTGAATGAGTAACTGTGATAGAGTGGATTGAAATCTATGCAGAAAGCATTATTTCAGTATAGACAAATCACCTAAGAAGGTTATCCTGTGGACTGCATGAAGCCCTGGGTTTGATTCCTCAGTATCACATAAACAGGAAAAGTCTGAAGTGGTGCTTTGGCTCAAGTGGTAGAGGGCTAGTCTTGAGAAAAGAGGCTCAGGGACAATGCCCAGGCCCTGAGTTCAAGCCTCCAGGACCAGCAAAAAAGAAAAAAAACATCCAGGGCTGATGACAATAGCACCTCCCTGTGAGATACAAGATTCTTTCCAACCCTCCTAGATGGGGAGAAAGTAAGTCACAAGTGAAAAGAGGGCAGAGAAAAGAGGAAGGCCAGGAGGGAATTTTTAATGCATTACCTGTGTTAATGACTTTTGGGATAGGATCGATTTCTTCATCTACAATGAATGGCTCTGGCCTGGGGAAGACCTGGACGTCAGCGGTCAGGTGGCCACACTTGAGCACAGCATGGAAAGGCATATATGCCAGGTCTATCAGCTTTCTATAAGATGATAATGACTTGTTAAGGGAGGAAGAGTTCACATGTGGTACACAGAAAAGGATTGTACACATGAAAGTAACATTTCAAGATGTAAAGTTGGTTAAACCTTCGCACTGATTCCAAAACTAAATCTACTTGTGAAACGGAGAGAGAAACCCCAGAGCAAGTTAAACTTGGGAACAGCTGAGTCTTTTTAAAGCATGACCACCTTATTTTACCTGAGAAACAGGCAACTGTGGGAAAATGGACTCACAGTGTTAGAAATAATACAGTAACTGAGAGGTCGCCGAAATAGCTCAGTTGGGAGAACATTAGACTGAAGAAATAATACAGTAACTGTTCTTCTTGGTTGTCAAATTATAATATCAGATTGTAAAGAAGCCCCCACTCCCCACCCCTCAAAAAACAACTTTAAGGCATATACTCACCCAAACATAGACTGCACGTTTTTCAAGCACAGGGGGCCATCACTAGTAAAAATTTGTCCTTCACCATTGTTGAAGTCTATGAGATGTTCAAGGCATTCCAGGGAATCGGTGCTCTGAAGCTACAAAGCAAGAGAGGACACCTTTAAAGTAGAACAAATCACCACATCACTACCAGCACACCAAGGCCACAGCCACTGTAACAAAATGGGCAATAAACGGTTTGTTTGGTTTGTTC